GGGATTGTCTCTAAAACAAGTTGTTGAGCCAACTCGTAAAGAGGCCATACTAGATTTAGTGTTAACAAATGGAGATTTGGTATCAGATGTTACTGTAGGTGAAAGTTTAGGATCCAGTGATCATCAGTCAGTGTGGTTTAATATAAGAACAGTGACTGAGTCACACCACACAAAAACAAAAGTTTTTAGACTTTAGAAAAACAGACTTTTCTAAAATTAGAATATGGGTAGAGGAGTCATTATCAGACTGGAGCAATTTAAATGGAGTCCAAAAGAAATGGGATTATTTAAAAGTTGCACTATTGAAGGCAACAGAAAATTGCATTAGGCTTGTCAGTAAAAGCAAAAAATTCAAGAAACCACTGTGGTACTCGCAGATGTAGCCCATGAGATTAAAAACAAAAGAAGTTAGCATTTAGGAATTATAAAAACCAGGTAAAGGGAAGACAAAAAATGATCCATAAGATTAGGCTGAGAAAAGAGAGGCTAGAAAGCAAGTTATAAGAGCTTCCAAATCACACACAGAAGAGAAAATAGCACAGTCAGTAAAAAAGGGGGATAAAACATTTTTTAGATACATAAATGAGAAAAGAAAAGTAAAACAAGGATTAGTTAGATTAAAAACAAAAGAAGGAAGGTATGTAGAAGAGGATAAAGGTCAGGCTGACTACCTCAATGAATATTTTTGTTCTGTATTTACAGATGAAAATGAAGGAAAAGGACCTCAGTTGAGAAAAAGGATAAATGAGTAATTTATTACACGTGAGTTTACAGAGGAAGAGGTTCTATTTCAACTGTCAAAAGTAAAGACAAATAAGTCAATGGGACCTGATGGAATACACCCAAAGCTATTAAAAGAGCTTAGTGGTGTACTAACAAAACCATTAACAGATTTATTTAACCAATCATTGTTAACAGGAGTAGTCCCAGAAGATTGGAAGTTAGCGAATGTTGTGCCCATTTACAAAGAAAGGTAATAGGGAGGAGTCGGGCAACTATAGGCCAGTAAGCCTTACTTCAGTAGTGGGGAAAGTGATGGAAACCATGTTAAGGATAGGATTGTTGAACATCTAAAAACACATGGATTTCAAGATCAGAGACAACATGGGTTTACTTCAGGGAGATCATGCCAAACTAATCTTATTGATTTTTTTGATTTGGTAACTAAAATTATAGATCAGGGTGATGCAGTAGACATTGCTTACCTAGATTTCAGTAAGGCTTTTGACACTGTTGCACATAGAAGACTTATCAATAAACTGCAATCTTTAAGTTTGGATTCCAATATTGTTGAATGGGTAAGGCAGTGGCTGAGTGACAGGCAACAGAGGATTGTAGTTAATGGAATATATTCAAAGCTTGGACTTGTCACCAGTGGGGTACCTCAGGGATCTGTACTTGGACCCATTCTCTTTAATATTTTATTAGTGATATTGCAGAAGGTCTTGATGGTAAGGTATGTCTTTTTGCTGATGATACTAAGATATGTAACAGGGTTGATGTTCCAGGAGGATAAGCCAAATGGCAAATGATTTAGGTAAACTAGAAAAATGGTCAGAATTGTGGCAACTGACATTTAATGTGGATAAGTGCAAGATAATGCATCTTGGACGTAAAAACCCAAGGGCAGAGTACAGAATATTTGATATAGTTCTAACCTCAACATATGAGGAAAGGGATTTAGGGGTGATTATTTCTGATGACTTAAAGGTAGGCAGACAATGTAATAGAGCAGCAGGAAATGCTAGCAGAATGCTTGGTTGTATAGGGAGAGGTATTAGCAGTAGAAAGAGGGAAGTGCTCATGCCATTGTACAGAACACTGGTGAGACCTCACTTGGAGTATTGTACACAGTACAAGAGAAGAAAGGAGAAAAGGAGAAAAACTCTTAATATAAGAAATAGGTGCTTGAGACAACTTTTTTTTGGTTGCTGTTTTCTGTTTCTTCTTTTTGTCCCCCACACTTTGTGCTCTATTTGAAGTCTAGGTCTGACCAATTAGAGATCATATTTAAAGAAACAACGCTTAACAAGTTACAAGGGGTATCAAAATTTATAATAAGATAGGGGTTGGAATTTCTAAGAGACACTATTTGATCTTTAACACCTTAATGACCAGACCATTTTTCAATTTTCTTACCGTTAAGGACCAAGGTTCTTTTTACATTTTTGTGGTGTTTGTGTTTAGCTGTAATTATCCTTATACTCATTTCCTGTATCCACACATATTATATGCCGTGTTTCTCACCATTAACTGGTCTTTATAAAGATACCATTATTTTCATCATATCATATAATTTACTATAAAAAACATTATAAAATATGATGAAAAAATGTAAAAATAAAACACTTTTTCTAATTTTGACCCCCAAAACCAGTTACGCATCTACAACCGCCCAAAAACACCCATGTTAAATTGTTTCTAAATTTTGTCCTGAGTTTAGAAATGCCTAATGTTAACATGTTCTTAGCTTTTTTTGGAAAGTTATAGGGCTATAAGTACAAGTAGCACTTTGCTATTTCCAAACCAATTTTTTTCAAAATTAAGGCAACATTGTAACACTGATATCTGTCAGGAATCCCTGAATAACCCTTCACATGTTTATATATTTTTTAAAAGAAGACAACCCAAGGTATTAAACTTGGGGTATTTTGACTCTTTTCATGCAACCATT